AAAAAAAAAAAAACACATGTGAATCTATAGTAACAAAATCTGAAACTTATTTTATTGGTAACAAATTTGAAGATTCTTATGGTAAAATTTGAATTCCATTTTTACCAGAATTTAAATCATATCATATTTGTTAACGAATTTGGAAATTCTTATGCAAAAAAATGTATCAATTAGTTATGAAAATAATTTTAAATACAAATTAATTTAAAAACCGTGCAAATTGGATACAAATTTAGGAAACAAATAGTTGTATGATTCTTAACCAATTCTTCCAATCTCATTGAATATTTTTTTTAAAAAAGTGTGTAAATTAGATAAAACCATGTGCAAATTTTATTTTAAAATAAAATTGATATTTGGACGGGAAGTACATTCCAAATTGTGTCCATATTTTTTTATAACAAAAATGGTTCATATTTGATATTTATAGTCACTTTATCCAATTATTTAGAAAAAATTGTGTACAACTTTTCAAAATTTAAATGCATCGATTTTTTTGGATTCTTATGTTTTTTCTTAACCATGTTTTATCGAGATTTGGTAAGTTCATATCATTTTTTTTTTGTTAAGTACATATCATTTTCTTTAGGAAATAGACAGTTGCATAAACATTAACAAACTATTTCAATTTCATATTAGAATTATTTTCAATTCAATTGTTTGGTAAAAATATCGGTGCAGGTTAGGAAATTCGATTGCATTTTTAGGAAAAAATGATGATTATTTTATTTGGTTTAAAAAAAATATTCGGATCAATTTGTTTGATAAAAAAATCAATTTTTTGGTAGAAAAATCGGTTTCATTTTCAGGAGTAATTAATAATTTTTTTCTTTTCTTTTCTTAATTGAAATTTAGAATTAAATTTAAAATAACTAATGGGTGAAAATCTGTAAAAATTTCTAATTTTTTTAACTCTTTTTTTTTTTTAAATAAATGAGATCCTTTAATTTATTTAAAATTTGTCAGCTAATAAATAATAATATGCAATTTTAGATAAAATTCAAACACCTATGTAGTATTTTGCGTGCCAAAGAATCAAACCAATAATGTTGTACACATTGAAGTGTTTAATAACATATAAATTTTATTTTGATGATATTTTTAATTCATGAGAAAATTTAAATACAAAAGTACCTTTTTAAATAGGTAATAAATATTCTCGTGCATTGCACAGGTACCATACTAGTCTACATAAAGAGGTTGTTGGAAAAATACATTTAATAGAAAATTTGACAGGAAAGATATAATGTTTGATTCACTATATATAAGTGGAAAATAAATAAATAAATAAATAAATAAAACATGTGAACCTTTAGTAACAAAATTTGATTGAGTCCCTTTTTTGATATTTAGATATTCTTATGGCAAAATTTTGAATCACATTTTTTTAGTGAATTTTTATTTACCAAAATTTAAATTCCATTTTTTTAACAAATTTGGAGATTTTTATGCAAAAAATGTGTCAATTATTTATGAAAACAATTCCAAATAGAAATGAATTTAAAATTTTGCAAATAGAATATAAATTTAGGAAACAAATACTTGTATAATTCCTATCAAATTCTTAATTTTTTTTTGAATATATTTTCTTTCAAAAAGTGTGTGCAAATTGGATAAAACCACGTGCAACTTTAATTTAAAACAAAATTGAGATTTGAACGAGATATATTCAAAATTGTATCCACATTTTTTGTAACAAAATCGGTTCATCTTTGATATTTAAAGTCAAACCTTATCCAATTATTTAGGCAAAAAAGTTCAAATCAATTTCAAAATTGTGTGCAACTTTTACTAGGAATGCACAACTTTTCAAAATTTGATTTCACCGTTTTTTTTTTTTTTTTTTCTTATATTTTTTCACAACCATACTTTACCTAGGTTTTGGTAAGCTCATATCAATTTTTTTAAGAAATAAACAGTTGCATAAATCTTAACAAACTATTTCGATTTTTAGTTAGAATTAATTTCAATTCAATTTGTTTGGTAAAAAAAATCGGTGCAATGTTAGGAAAAAACGGTTGCATTTTTAGGAAAATTTGATGATGCTTTTCTTTTTCTTTTAACCAAATATTTGGATTAATTTGTTTGAGATAAAAAAAAATATTCGGTGTATTGGTAGAAAAATCGATTTAATTTTTTTAGAAAAACTAATGATTTTTTTTCAAATTTTTTTAATCAAAATTTTGAATTACATTTAAAAAAATTAAAATAGCGTGAAAGTTCCTAAATATTTCTTATTTTTTTCTACTAGAATTTTTTTAACAAACAAGATCACTTAATTTATTTTTTTTTAAAAAAAGAATGCAATTTATTAAAATAATAGCTAATAATACACAATTTTAGATAAAATTTGTACACACATGTTATACATGAAGAAGTGTTTAATAACTTATAAATTTCAATTTCATGATATTTTTAATGACATGAAACAGTTTAAATACAAAAATACCTCCTAAAGAGCTAGTATGTATAAAGGCATTAGGTTGTAATTGCCAATTATAGTAAATCTATTTATTTTTGGCTTTTCATATTTGTATTTACTCATCAGAAAAAAAGAAAATATTAAAACTCTATTAATAATGGGGACGAACTGAAAATTACCACGTAATTGCTGTTTTGAACTATGACTGTTATAAGCTTGTCCTCAGAATGTGTTGCCTCCGTAAAGTTGCCAGCGACGAGTTGTTGCTTTATTTGATTCACTACTCTATTTTTTTTAACGATTTTAATTATTCAATAAAAAAAAATTAATAATTTTTATAATAGAAAAAGAAAAATAATAATAAACATGTGCAAAATTTTTTAATAAAGTTTCGGACCTGTTTGACTCAAGTAGGCCATTGTTGTCCAGCCTTGAGACATCACTTAACAGAGGGCCCCATGAAGACTGCAATTAATTCATCACGTGAAAAACATGTTAATTGATTGTATATATAATTTCCCATTTACAGAATGGCAATGAATTTTACATTTATAAATTCAAATAAAATTAAACTAGTATTATTACCACATAATCTTCTGGAGACATCCAAGCGTTCCCCAGTGCAACTCCTGTTTACCCCCCAAAAAATTAATTGTACAAAAATATATAAATGAACAATTCGAAAATTACTAACACATTCATTACATAAATATACAAATGAATACTACCTCCTATTTTTAATATATGTCGTTTTGAGAAACTGTACATTAATTAAAAATATATTTATTTTTTTGTCAATAATAACAATATGTAATGAAGATAGAGATGAATGTTTTGAGAAAAAATGAAGAGTGAATATGAAAAAACGTAATGTATTTATTAGCTAAATGAGGATAATAATGGAAAAATATGTACAAAAAATCCAAAACGACATTTATTTGGCAAATCTATTAATATATAAAGAGGGAATGATATTTATTTGAAAAAAGATGAAAAAAAATCAGCAAAAAAAAAAAAGAAGCCAATTCCCGCCCAAAGTGAATAAAATGAGAAAGATTTTTGGCTAAAAATTAAAATTTGAGCGCCATTCAACCAATTTTGAAAATTTAAAAAAATAAATAAGTTAAAAAATCTAAATAAAAAGATTACATGAAGATTCTTTGGAGATTTCATTTTATCTAACTTTCATACATTAGGAATGAGACACTTGTCCTATTTTCATTGGTCCACTATAAATTTTATATGATAAGATAAGTATAACTCAAATTATTGCTATTATTTTGTTTTAAAAAATAAAATAAAAAATACCAAAATTCGTATTTTTTCATACTCTATAAATAAAGACCACTCTTGATATGTTTTGGAACACAATTAAAATTATTATGTTGGGTTAGGTTGAAGATAAAACAATACCAAAAAATGTATTGTAGAATAATATATATTAAATAAATAAATAAAAATAAAATAAATATTATACTATCTTTATTAGGTCACCAACTAAAAAATAATAAAAAAATAAAAAATAGCAAAATCCGCGACTCAGGTCAAATTGTGACCCTAGATCGCAACATAGCCACAAGGAGGGAGAGAGAAATGAGGTGAGTGAAATGGAGCAAGTGTCTCATTCTTACTGGTCTATAAAATTTTCTATAATAAGATAATTGTAACTCAAATTATTGATATTAATTTATATGAAAAAAATAAATAAAAATTTATTTTTCATTCTCTATAAATAGAGACCACTCTTGATATATTTTGGAACATAATTGCAATTTCTATCTTTTCACTCTTTTTTCTTAACCGTAACTTATCAATTTTATCATATCTTTTATTTTATCATATCACAACTAAAACAATAACAAAAAAATTATTGTAGATAATATTTAATAAATATATAAATAAATATAAAATAAATATTATGTTGGGTTGAGTTAGGTTGAGTTTGGGATAAAGGACTATTCTACTATGCCTTTTCCAGATATGGGTAGTATTAATTCAAGTGCGAACCATCTGGTTTTGGATGAACTTAACTATGACCGTAAGGCTCTAGCTATTGAGCATGATGCATTGCTGACACATATGACCGATGAACATAATGGTTTTTATTCCAAAATAATGACATATGTTCATTCCGGCAGGGGCGGCGTGTTTTTTGTGTATGGTTATGGTGGAACTGGAAAGACATACTTGTGGAGGACTTTAGCTGCTTGGCTAAGATTGCACGGTCGAATTGTGCTTTGTGTTGCATCAAGTGGAATAACATCTTTCCTATTACCGGGCGGACGAACTGCACAATATTCTCGATTTGGCATTCCTATTTCTGTGCATGAAAATTCATCGTGTGAGATCAATCAGGCTAGCCCCCTTGCTGAGTTGATTATTCGCTCTTCATTGATCATATGGGATGAGGTCCCAATGATGCATAAATATTGTTTTGAAGTTGTTCAAGCAGCTTTTAAACAGTAATGGGAGCCCTCGACCCGACAAATCATCATAAACCGTTCGGAGGCAAGACTGTTGTGTTTGGTGGAGACTTTCTACAAATCCTTCCAGTAGTTCCAAAGGGTAGTCGTCAGGAGATTGTTAATGCTGCTATTAACTCTTCTAGCATTTAGGGAGAATGTACTGTGCTTAGGCTTACAAAGAATATGCGTCTTCGGAGCATTGGCGATTCGAATGAACGTGACGAGTTGGCCGCTTTTGCTGATTGAATAGCGAGCATTAGAGATGGAACATTGAGGGGTAAAAATGATGGATTTTCTCCGATAGACATACCAAATGATCTATTACTAGAGCCATCCGATGATCCAGTTGCAAAAATTGTTGAAAGCACATTTCCAATATTCAAGAATGCAACCGACGATCCAAGTTACTTGAAGGATAGAGCTATACTTGCGCCAACACTCGATATCGTAGAATCTGTTAATGAATACATATCGTCGTTAAATTTGACTGAGAGACGCACGTATTTATGTTCATACAGTACGTGTAAATCCGACTTCAATACCGACTGTGTGGCACAACTCTATACTCATGAGTTCTTAAACACCATCAAGTGTTCTGGAACGCCGAACCATGAATTGAATTTGAAGGTCGGAACTCCAGTTATGTTGTTGCGGAATATGAATCACTAATGGGACTCTGCAATGGTACACGATTGGTTGTGACTAAACTCTCCAATCATGTTCTCGAGTGTAAAATTCTTACTGACGATCATGCATGTGATAAAGTTTTGATACCTCGGATGACAATAACTCCTTCTGATGTTAGAGTACCATTCAAATTTCAAAGAAGGCACTTCTCCATTATGGTTTCGTACGCAATGACTATAAACAAGAGTCAAGGTCAATCATTATCGCATGTTGGCTTATTCTTGAAGAAGCCAATTTTTAGTCATGGCCAGTTGTATGTCGTTGTCTCCCGTGTTACTAACAGAAAGGGTCTGAAAATTTTAATTTGTGGAGAAGAAAGTTTGAAAGAAAATCAAACCATAATGTTGTGTATAGAGAAGTGTTTAATAATATATGATTTTTATTTATATTTTGTATTCATCTATCCTTTTTCTATTGTAATTAAATAATTAATTTATAAAAAAAAATATTTAAAATAAAGTTAAAAAAAAAAGGTTTGAGGAAATAACCCCGCCGTGCTGCGCACGGGTACCATACTAGTAGTTGATAAAGCTAGATTGACATTTAAAAAAATAGGAGGAAGTATCATATTATCCGTTACACAATTATATTAAACAATCAACCATTTATAACTCTAGCGTGCACAACATATGGAAATTAGATACTTCCTTTCCTAGTATTTTTTGATCGTTTTATCTTTATTTGACACTAGTACAATGACAAAATTTCAATTTCAGCTACTATGTTGACTATTTTTCTAAAAACGTCCATCATATAGTGTGTCTTGAAAAAGACCCACTACGTTGCCACTTTAACCAAATTTCGTACAATTTTCGGGATGGATTAATGAAATATTGATGTGGACGAATTTATTTATTGACGTGGGAGGATTAATTTGTGACGTGGGTGGATGCAGATTCTTTGAAAATTATAAACATACTCCAAGGACCAGATTGCGGTTTCCTACAAAAATTCTAAATCACATATTTGCCCCATACCTTAGTTGCAATTAACTAGAACTTTTAAAATTATGAAATAATACCTAAAAGTTATCATATTTTCAAAAAAACAAGCATTGCAAAGCACGCAACACGTCGTGAGGTCCTTCAAGGCAAAATCGAATTCGTTCAGAGGCTAATTTCGGTAACAAATATTGTTCAGAGATTCCTGATGGTGGCCGGGATTGAGTCCTTAACAGAGCACGAACATAGATCGAGCACTGAAGTGTGTCGAGCTGCAGGTCAACCCACTTGGGGATCGGCCCAAAAGCTCAAAATTCGAGGCACTGAACAAAGGCAAAAGGGGTCAGGTATTGGAGGACGTCGACTAAGAATTGAGTGTTCTGAACGCCCCTTCTCGTTCGCCTGAACCAGAAGATGTTGATTCAGATGACCCTACTATCCGCGCACCGGACTCCCACCTACGACGCGCAAGGGCCAGATGTAATGGGCCATTCCTTGGCATGTAACCCTAAGGAGGACCTCAACTAGAATAAAGAAAGCCGCTCTTGACCGAAATCAAAATTCGCTGCTCTAGACTCTAGTGTGCAGCCCAACAGAAGGAAGAACAAAGATGAAGAAATGAGAATGACCCTGCTCCTTCCATCCACCATTTTTTCTGCTCAAATTTCATCGAGCTTCAGGGGGAGCCAAATATGAATTTTTTAATCGTCGAATTAAAATCATTTAGGAAAAAAACTTAATTGGAGAACTGGAATAACATGTTCTCGTTTTCCGTTTGGCGATTATGGACGTGGAGAAACGACAAAATTTTTAATCACCACTGCCTGAGTGCTTACGCGAGGCTCAATGAAGTTGTGCGCTTCACGGAAACGTACAGTTGGGAGACTGCAGCTTATGCTCGAGTTGGGGTTGCTGTGTATGTTAATAAATTTATTCGTTGGATTCCGCCGGACACGGAATGGGTAAAAGTCAATATCGACGGGGCCTTCGATACCTCTTCTGGTCTGAGTAGTGCAGGCGGTTTAATAAGAAACGAGTTTGGTGGATGGCGGGCAGAATTTCTTATGAATATTGGCTACTGCACTATTACGGGTGCCGATATTTGGGGGCTCCTACAAGGATTACTCCTGGCGTGGGATTTGGGATTTCGTCTTGTCAATGCTGAGGTTGATAGTCAATGTGTCACGCAGCTGATTCATGGTTCGGAGGATAAGCTTGGGACCCATGTAGCCCTGGTTCAGGCTATTCGTAGCCTGTACGATCGTGAATGGAACATTAAGATCCAACACGTTCATAGGGAAGCTAATTTTGCGGCAGATCATTTGGCGGGCTTAGCGGCCAGTTCATCGGTCGGGTTGCACCGGATTTCGTCTCCCCCTGGCTTGGGGGCATGGATTCAGCATAATCTTGCGGGGGTTTTTATCCCCCTCGTGTGTTAGTTTAAAACTTTAAGGCTGGGCCTTCTCTTATTGTACCAAAAAAAAAAAAAACTTAGGTGGAAAAAATGAAGCGTCCACGTCAATGAATTTGAAGGAA